TTATTTTAAAAAGATATTTTTATTGATATCAGTGGGGGAGAGAGAAAGAGACACATGAGTGATGAGAGAGAATCATTGATTGCCTTTTGCACACCCCCTACTGGGAGACTGAGCCTGCAACCCGGGCATGTGCCCTGACCCGGAATCGAACGGCAATCTCCTGGTTCATAGGTCCATGCTCAACCATTCAGCCATGCTGGCAGGGCTACGGAGTTCCTTTATATCCCTCACCCATTTTCTACATTTGTCTAAGTCTACCAATTTTGATACATTACTATAAATTACACTACTCACCAGTTTTCCCACTAAAGTCAATATTCTGTCCCAAGATCCAATCCAGCATATACTATATTTAGACAAAGTTTTAAAAAGTGAAAATGCTTTAGCTAGAACTATGTTAATTAATTCTCCATGTGATAATTATATGACTGGAGGAGTTATTGAATATTATTTTTTTTCCTGTTACTGAGTTCTGTAGTTGGGATATAAATATAGAATGAGTGGTTACTGAAAGTCAAAAGAGATTCTAATTTTTAGAAAATTCTCATTTTTAGAAAATAATGTTGAGTTTCCATGAAGAGCAGGAAGTGTTGCCAGAAACTTTTCTTGCCAACTTCCCTTCTCTGATAAAGGTGGATATTCATAAAAAAGTAACTGACCCAAGTGTAGCCAAAAGCATGATGGCTTGCCTCCTATCTTCACTGAAGGCTAATGGTGAGTACATATTTGTGGAGTTGCTGGTGTTTGGGTTAGGTGGGGACAGGACTATATTTTAGGTTAAAAAGAAGTGAATTATAGTGAATGTACATTCCCTTCACCACCATTTATGATTTGGCTTCTGAATTATTAGTTGTGCAAGAATTGCATGAGTATTAATCATTGAAAAAGGCTTCTCTTACACAATGAATGCTTATTTTGAGCCTCAAGTAAACGAGAAGTGAACACCTGAGGTTATATTTATTTTGCCAGAAGACTCATAAATGATAGTTGAAAGTTAAATGAACCTTGGGGAGAAATTTCATTTAGGAATGCAATCACCAGTTTTTTTCAAGCTTTAGCCAAGCTTGAAAACTCAACCTTCAAAAATATGTGGCTTTACATAAGTATGAAGTCTCTTTCTGTGAAGGGCCAGTTAATAAGTATGCTAGGCTTTAAGGTCTGCATATAGTTTCTGTTGCAATGCTTTTTAAACGGCCTTTTAAAATTGTAAAAAACTAACTGTAATCTTTGGACAATACAAAAGTGGGCAGCTTTTGAGCCCTCATTAGAAGGTTGTTGATACATGAGAATGCACCTGTTGCATATTTGTATCATTTGAATCAGTGTTGTCCTTTTGTGGGATAATTTAAACAACTCTGCGTAATTCTTAGTGTTGTGCTTGGAACTTAATATTAAAACGTTAAGCAGAGGTATCCTTTGCTTTCAGGTCTCTTACAAACTCTTCCCCAAAAGGTTTTCCTTCTGGAGAAGAGTTTCACTTACAGTTGAATTTTTTCAATTGAGGTATATTTGATAGTTAAGAATTGTATATACTTATTGTACAATTTGATGATTTGGAATATATTTCGAAATAACCACATTCAAGCTAGTTAACATATCCATCATTTAAGATAGTTATCACTGCAGTATTTAATAATGATCATTATTAATACTCATTTAATATTAATACAAATTTTAAAAATTGTAGGCTAATAGACAAGTTCCCACTATGATTTGTTTGAAATATATTAAAAGAGTAGTCACAATTTATATCCACAATTCTACTTATTAATGTATTTTGATTATTTGTTTTATTTCTAGGCTCCCGGGGGGCTTTCTGTGAAGTGAGACCAGATGATAAAAGAATTCTGGAATTTTACAGCAAGTTAGGCTGTTTTGAAATTGCAAAAATGGAAGGATTTCCAAAGGATGTGGTTATACTTGGTCGAAGCCTGTGACATTTGACACTATGAACTGCCTGAAAGTCTCTTAACTTCACCTGGTGGGTGGTGGTGGGGGTCTTTATACAGTTCAGCCTCTGGAGCGGCCACAGATCAGCCAATTGGGATTGGAAACAAAGAAGACTATGTAAAACTCACGCATCATATTTTGAGACTACTCACTGGTTAGAAGATAGTACTTCTGCAAATCCTATATGAAATAGATATGTGGGCCCCTTTTTGGGTCTTGTGTTAGGTGTCAAGACCTCTTACATGGGCTTATAGGAAGGGGGTCTTCAATAAATCTAGTCAGCACTGTTTTCTGCATTTCTCACCTTAGAGTAATCAAAATCATTTGTCATCCTCCTTGGCTTATTGAATGAAATGTCTCTTATTCTTTGGGGACATGGCAGAGATGAGAAAGATTTTAGTGGGTTTCAGAGCCTTCAGGGTGGAAATTCCAAGTCGGATGGTTGTGGCATAGTATAAGCTGAATAAATGGTTTCAATTTTGGGCAGTTATTCTGCTTTTTGTAAAGCTGTGGCCAATTGTCGCCTGTAGTGATGATTGGTTCAGGCATGTTGTGCTTCGTAGGGACAAATGTGCATTTGTTTGTGGCAAAAGCCTAAAAATGACAAGCTTGTAAATTTTTTGTATATAAACTAGCTGTGATCTGCCTACCTTTGTGTTTACCGGTTTTGTAATTTTTTTTCATTTTGAAAATGAAAGGTGTGATTCAGGATGGCACTTTGAATAATATAAATCAATGGAAAGTGAATTTTTCTTTTGTCTTTGGTTGGTTGTTTAGGCTTTTTTTTTTTTTATAGAAGTTTTATTTTTAAAGTGCCTCCCACCTAAGCTAGGCCACAACCACTTTGGGTATAAGAGCCTAACTTCATAGGACTCAATCTGTTGCAAGTGCAGTCACTTCTAGAAATTAACCTCAATATAGGTCAGCATGTGTAATGTTAGTTTGACATCTATCAAGTAGGGTTCAGGGACTGGTTGGTCCCATTTGCCCTCAGATCAGTTGTCCTTTAATTTCAAGACCTGTTACTACTGGTTTTATTAAATCACAGCCTAATTCTTGCATGTTTGTATCGAATTTTTAAAAGAGACAAATAATGAGTATACTTTAATCAATGACTTAATGATTAATTTTTCCTTTAGCCACAGATTCTGAGAGCTTCATGTATTTTAATTTAGATTTGGTGTATTTAAGGGTTCTGAGCATGAGGCTAGCAGGTAATTTCTGCAGGATACATTTTTTCATTATGACTGGCTGACTTCTTCATAGATCCATAACAGTATTTTATTATCAGCTTCCCTGTAGCTTTGTATCAGCTGATTAACTTTGAGCTGAGAAGGAAAGGGCAAGGAGAAGGAAACTTGAAACATGCTTTTCTTGATAGGATTCCATCAGGATGGGCTTTGAGAGAGTCTTCAAGAGTGGTACCTAGAAGGGGTACCACTAGTGACTTCCAACCAAGGCCCATGAGGGGCACTGAATGGGTGAGATGAAGGGAGGAAAGGAAGGAGGCCTTCTCATTTTCAGGGTAGAAACCTCTAACTGATAGGATATAGTATGTTGGAAAGCTTGGACCACGTTTGAATTTTTAAGGGCTGAGGTGTGAAAGGAATATCTCTACAAGATAATGGTTTAAATGGCTTAGTGTCACGGGTTTCTCTTTAAATACATTTTCTACACTAGTGAACAATTGTGGCATTTTATCTGGAGGATTTCAGGGCCAACCTCCTATGGAATCAAGATTTTTAGCGTTCGCTTGTGGCTTCTTGGCTTTTAATAACTTTGGCTAGTCTTCTGGTCACAGATGCTAACTGTGAAACAGATGTCCAGGCCTATACATTCATCACTCTAGGATTGTAAAATGCTATGCTACCTTCTATGGTTGTGAATATTTATTAAGGTTGGAATGACATTACCTTGATTGTTTAGATCACAGCTCAGTTCCTGTAGAAAATGAACTGTAAATTATGTGAAGATCATGCAAGAGGCAAAATAAAACTTGAAGTGAATGTGTATGGTGGTGTACTGTGTAAACCTAATTTCTTTCTGCCTCCTACCTTTTCTCCTGCCCTTCATGCGTCACCTGCAAGCAAGTATTCCTCCTCCCTCTTCATAGCTGTTTCAAGTTAAGGACTGACTGTTGAAGGCAGTCCTCTCCTACCATCTCCAGTAAAAGACCTCCTTTCAGGTTTTCCCAAGGCAAGGCAAAAAATAAGAAAAGTAGACTGGCTCTTGGCCTAGCCACCCTTTTGCCAGTTTTAACTTGGGTGTAAATAACTTGGGAGCAAGTCGTTTGAGTGAGTTCCTGCCACCCAACAGGATAAGGAACATGCTTTGTGTGGTTCTTTATTAAATGGCGACAGATGGGGAGAGTCGTCCAAATTATGAGACAGGAGTCCAAGGGGAAGGACGTTCTGGGATGATTTGGGAGGAGCTCGAAAGATTGCAAGAGTTAGTCCTGCTAGCAAGCACCAGCCTCTGAAGCTCAATGAAGATAAGCCATCTGGATAGTAAGCTGCAAGGTCGTTGGAGCTGGAAGCGTATCTAGGAGAGCGAGTGATTTGGGTACGAGATGCCTGGAGGTAAAATGTCACTTAAGGCTACTCACTCACTCGGAGCAAATGCAAATATGAGCGCATTTCCTTTGCTGGGTTGGGAGAAATGGAGACAGAGGGTGTGACGAGCTGGAGAACATGGAGGTAGGAGCTGCCTCGGAAAGCCTTGGTGGTTGTAAGGAGGGCAACGGGAGCATTAATCCCAAATCCACGCTTCCGCTTCCGTAGTCTCTTCCTCCTTGCAGCCGCGGGCTCCCGGGCGAGGCCGGGCGGGGAAGCCCGGGCCCAGCGCTTCCG